TTTCTAGATTTTTGTGGTTTATATAGAGTTTATTTTATATCTATTCAAGTTTATCTTTTAAATTTTATGTTAAAAGTTCATTATTCATAAATGAGCAAGTCTTTATATTCTAATTATAAAACATTTATTATTAAAATAATTGGACATTTTAAACCAGCTTTGTTTACAAAAGTTTCAAACAATATTCATTGGTTCAAGATAATGAAAACAATTATCATGGCAATTTAAAGTTATGAACCGTAAAATAAAACAAAACATGTCCAAGTTTGATTAGTTGCTAAGTGGAATAAATTGAAAATATATATTACATATTTTCCAATTTATTTTATTTTATTTTATTTATAAATACAAGAGTTGTTATATTCTTGTACGGCCACCAGCACGCAGAGCGTTTCGGGCAAGTCCTTAATCCTAATTTCCCCGGAATACGACCCGCCAAGTCGTTTAACAACCAGGGGCCAGATTCACGAAAGCACTTACGCAAACACTTACGAACCTGTACATCTTTTCTCAATCTTTGAGGGCTTTGTTTCCAATTATTAAACAGTTAATGAGCTCCGAAGCACCAGGAGGCTGTTTATAACAATAACAACAGTTGATTGGCAAGTTTTCATGCTTGTACACTGTTTAATAAATGTAACTAAAGCCGTCAAAGATTGAGGAAAGATGTACACGTTCGTAAGTGTTTGCGCAAGTGCTTTCGTGAATCTGGCCCCAGGTACCCATTCACTGCTGGGTGAACAGAGGCAACAGTTAAGGATGGCTGCCAAGCCAATCGTCCCCGGCCAGGATACGATCCTAGCCTATCATCTCGCGATAAATGGGGTGAGTGTATTACCACTGCGCCACGGGGACTGTTGGTGTGGCTTCCCCACAGCACCCCTTGTGAACCACTGGCTTAGGTCGATGACTTGGGTTTGTGGGTTTGTTATCACGTTGGAGCATTAAGATATATAATATACAAGACCGGAGAAAACTAATTAATTAACTGAATAAAGGCAGCAATACTCACCACAATAACCAATAAAGTCAGCAATACTCACCACAATAACCAAAAGTCAACAATACTCACCACAATAACCAATAAAGTCAGCAATACTCACCACAATAACCAATAAAGTCAGCAATACTCACCACAATAACCAATAAAGTCAGCAATACTCACCACAATAACCAATAAAGTCAGCAATACTCACCACAATAACCAATAAAGTCAGCAATACTCACCACAATAACCAATAAAGTCAGCAATACTCACCACAATAACCAATAAGGCCAGCAATACTCACCACAATAACCAATAAAGGCAGCAATACTCATCACAATAACCAATAAAGTCAGCAATACTCACCACAATAACCAATAAGGCCAGCAATACTCACCACAATAACCAATAAAGGCAGCAATACTCACCACAATAACCAATAAGGCCAGCAATACTCACCACAATAACCAATAAAGTCAGCAATACTCACCACAATAACCAATAAAGTCAGCAATACTCACCACAATAACCAATAAAGTCAGCAATACTCACCACAATAACCAATAAGGTCAGCAATACTCACCACAATAACCAATAAGGTCAGCAATACTCACCACAATAACCAATAAGGCCAGCAATACTCACCACAATAACCAATAAAGGCAGCAATACTCACCACAATAACCAATAAAGGCAGCAATACTCACCACAATAACCAATAAGGCCAGCAATACTCACCACAATAACCAATAAAGGCAGCAATACTCAACACAATAACCAATAAAGGCAGCAATACTCACCACAATAACCAATAAAGGCAGCAATACTCACCACAATAACCAATAAAGGCAGCAATACTCAACACAATAACCAATAAAGGCAGCAATACTCAACACAATAACCAATAAAGGCAGCAATACTCACCACAATAACCAATAAAGGCAGCAATACTCAACACAATAACCAATAAAGGCAGCAATACTCACCACAATAACCAATAAAGGCAGCAATACTCAACACAATAACCAATAAAGGCAGCAATACTCACCACAATAACCAATAAGGTCAGCAATACTCACCACAATAACCAATAAAGGCAGCAATACTCACCACAATAACCAATAAAGGCAGCAATACTCACCACAATAACCAATAAAGGCAGCAATACTCACCACAATAACCAATTAAGGCAGCAATACTCAACACAATAACCAATAAAGGCAGCAATACTCACCACAATAACCAATAAAGGCAGCAATACTCAACACAATAACCAATAAAGGCAGCAATACTCACCACAATAACCAATAAAGGCAGCAATACTCAACACAATAACCAATAAAGGCAGCAATACTCACCACAATAACCAATAAAGGCAGCAATACTCAACACAATAACCAATAAAGGCAGCAATACTCACCACAATAACCAATAAAGGCAGCAATACTCACCACAATAACCAATAAAGGCAGCAATACTCACCACAATAACCAATAAAGGCAGCAATACTCAACACAATCTATATAAATAAAAATGGAAATGTTCGTTTGTTCATAACTGCTAATCTGCAAAAGTTCTTCACCGATTGCTTTGAAATTTTGACACAACGTTGCATTCAAATAGGCGCGTCTTTTTATATACCTACTATATAGATGCCACCCCTGTGACAGGTAAAAACATGCGTTTTGGAAAAACAGTGCCATCTGTTGCACATAATAGCAACATGCACGCTATACTAAATATGTCACGAATTCCATTTCATTGCTTCCTATTGCATTGATAAACTTTATTTTCATAGATTTCGATTTATTTTATGTGTTATTGAATTATTTTGTGACATTGAGTTGGAATTGAGCTGTGTTGTTTACCATACCGTTCATTTCGTAAGTATAAGTATAGATGCCACACCTGTGACAGGTAAAAATATGTTTTTCTTGAAAAACAACACCATCTGTAGCATGTAAGAGCAACACACATGCTATACTAAATATGTTACAGTTCCATTTCAATGTTTCTGATTGCATTGATAAACTGTATTTTCATAGATTTTGATATATTTTCATTTTGATTTAATTATTTTGCGTGAATTGCGATGGAATTGAGCTGTGTTGTTTACCATACCGTTCATTTCGTGAGTATAGTTTTTTTTCATATTTGCATTAAACATTTTAACTGTTTTTCTTATATTTCAGTGATGGGAACATCAGATCACTTTACGTTCCCAATTTGCTGATGGGAACATCAGACCATTTGGGAAGGCATCGGACGAGGGAGTGGGGAATGGTGGGGATGACGAGGGGACGGAAGTGAGAGATGGTGGGAAGGACGAGGGGACAAGAGGAGGGGGTAATGGTGGGGAAGGACGAGGGAACGGTGAAGTTTCGAATGGTGGGGACGAGGGGATGGGGGAATGGAGAATGGTGGGGAGGACAAAGGGAAAGGGGAGTGGGGCATGGTGGGAAGGAACAGGGGAAGGTGCAGTGGGGAATGGTGGGAAGGAAGAGGGGACGGTGGAGTGGGGAATGGTTGGGAAGACGAGGAGACGGGTGTGGGGGGAATGGTGGGAGGACTGTGGGACAGGGAAGGTTGCTGTGGCTCAGCAACGCGTGGCTGGGTACTACTAGTAACCAATAAATTCAGCAATACTCAACACAATAACCAATAAGGTCAGCAATACTCACCACAATAACCAATAAGGTCAGCAATACTCAACACAATAACCAATAAGGTCAGCAATACTCACCACAATAACCAATAATGTCAGCAATACTCAACACAATAACCAATAAGGTCAGCAATACTCACCACAATAACCAATAAGGTCAGCAATACTCACCACAATAACCAATAAGGTCAGCAATACTCACCACAATAACCAATAAGGTCAGCAATACTCACCACAATAACCAATAAGGTCAGCAATACTCACCACAATAACCAATAAGGTCAGCAATACTCAACACAATAACCAATAAAGTCAGCAATACACACCACAATAACCAATAAAGTCAGTAATACTCACCACAATAACCAATAAAGTCAGTAATACTCACCACAATAACCAATAAAGTCAGTAATACTCACCACAATAACCAATAAAGTCAGTAATACTCACCACAATAACCATTAAAGTCAGCAATACTCACCGCAATAACCAATAAAGTCAGCACTACTCACCACAATAACAAATAAAGTCAGTAATACTCATCACAATAACCATTAAAGTCATCAATACTCACCACAATAAAGTCACTAATACTCACCACAATAAAGTCACTAATACTCACCACAATAAAGTCACTAATACCCATAGTCACAATAACCAGTTTTATAAGCAAAATGAAATTCAGAGAAGTTTAGTCCGTCAAGGAAGAAGGTCATTGAGAACATAATCAAATAGTGTGAATAGTGGAGTGGGAATTCTTTGGAAAGCGAACACGAACAAGTGCTTAGTACGGAATGTCCCGTGTTTGGGAGCGAAGGGCTGTAAGAGATGTATGGTAGAGCGTCATACATTATCACGTCCCTTGTATAGTGATGACCAAAACTTACCATAAGTTTCTTTGTAGCTTTCAGCAGTTACAGAGGTTACAGGGGTAAGGTGTTTACCACAGTGGTCAGTAAGTGAACAGGTCTCATTGACAGCTGTTGAAAGGTCAGTTTCAATCTCGTATATCCTGCAAATATGATAACTATACAAGGTTAAATTATTTAAACATTTATTAATCTTTTAAAGTATTGCATATTTTACAGGGCTAGAAACATGATATTCGTAATCTCTCTTAACATTTTATTTGTCAATTTTCACTCAGAAGTTCATAAATCAATTATCTTAAGCCTGCGACAGGCTGGTGTGATAAGGGCTGGTGACCATGAACTGGGCGGCTAGAGTAAGGACTCTCAGGCCATGGTTAATGAGGAAGGAACCATCAAATGGAGTGCATAGATCCTCCCAGACAACAACTTACTGAAGTCTTTGGAGACCTGTTCACCTACCTCCTGCATGGCCTCCAGGATGGCCTCCAGGTCTCTCAAGTCTGCCCAGAAGTCTGACCTGCCAGTGTTTCCACTTAACACTGAAAAGCATTTAGGGCCAAGAACCTCACACGCTATACCAGTATATGCCCTCTCTGGCCTACACCAGTGCCCACCCTCAGCCCACCCCCGCCTGCCCTCTCTGGCCTACACCAGTGCCCACCCTCAGCCCACCCCCGCCTGCCCTCTCTGGCCTACACCAGTGCCCACCCTCAGCCCACCCCCGCCTGCCCACCCTGGCCTACACCAGTGCCCACCCTCAGTCACCCTCGGCTGCCCTCAGGGACCCTACACCTGTGCCCACCCTCGGGTGCCCTCAGGGACCCTACACCTGTGCCCACCCTCGGGTGCCCTCAGGGACCCTACACCAGTGCCCACCCTCGGGTGCCCTCAGGGACCCTACACCAGTGCCCCCCCCCTCGGGTGCCCTCAGGGACCCTACACCAGTGCCCACCCTCGGGTGCCCTCAGGGACCCTGCACCAGTGCCTCCTCCTCGGGTGCCCTCAGGGACCCTACACCAGTGCCCACCCTCGGGTGCCCTCAGGGACCCTACACCAGTGCCCCCCCCTCGGGTGCCCTCAGGGACCCTACACCAGTGCCCACCCTCGGGTGCCCTCAGGGACTCTACACCAGTGCTCCCCCCTCGGGTGCCCTCAGGGACCCTACACCAGTGCCTCCCTCCCCTTGGGTGCCCTCAGGGAACCTACGCCAGTGCCTCCCCCTCGGGTGCCCTCAGGGAACCTACGCCAGTGCCCACCCTCGGGTGCCCTCAGGGACCCTACACCAGTGCCCACCCTCGGGTGCCCTCAGGGACTCTACACCAGTGCTCCCCCCTCGGGTGCCCTCAGGGACCCTACACCAGTGCCTCCCTCCCCTCGGGTGCCCTCAGGGACCCTACACCAGTGCCTCCCTCCCCTCGGGTGCCCTCAGGGACCCTACGCCAGTGCCTCCCCCTCGGCTGCTCTCAGGGACCCTACACCAGTGCCCCCCCCACCCTCGGCTGCCCTCAGGGACCCTACACCTGGGCCCACCCTCGGGTGCCCTCAGGGACCCTAAGCCAGTGCCTCCCCTCGGGTGCCCTCAGGGACCCTACACCAGTGCCCCCCCCCTCGGGTGCCCTTAGGGACCCTACACCAGTGCCTCCCCCTCGGCTGCCCTCAGGGACCCTACACCAGTGCCCACCCTCGGGTGCCCTCAGGGATCTTACGCCAGTGCCTCCCCCTCGGGTGCCCTCAGGGACCCTACACCAGTGCCCCCCCCCCACCCTCGGCTGCCCTCAGGGACTCTACACCAGTGCCCACCCTCGGCTGCCCTCAGGGACCCTACACCAGTGCCCCCCCACCCTCGGCTGCCCTCAGGGCCGTACACCAGTGCCCCCCCCTCGGCTGCCCTCAGGGACCCTACACCAGTGCCCCCCCTCGGCTGCCCTCAGGGACCCTACACCAGTGCCTCTTCCTCGGGTGCCCTCAGGGACCCTACGCCAGTGCACTAAACATTAACGCTTCTGTAACCTCGGGCGTTTCAGTCTGCAGGAAATCATCTTCGATTTGCAAGATAAGTTAGTGAGGTTAAGTTAGGTTGGGTCAGGTCAGGTTAGGTTAGATGAGATTAAGTTAGAGAAGGTTAGAGTGTGTGCAAGAAAACCTGGCCTTTCCAGCAAGTCCTGTAGTGAAAACCCCCCCCTACTTGGAAACAATCAAGGGGGGGGGGGTTCGAACGGGTGTTGCTCCATGCTGGGTGATCCTTGAGCCTGGCCTCCATACAGGGCAATAATTTGTTGATATCCTCCCTGTAGGTTATCTACGGTGTTGTGATGTGTGGTGTGGAAAGTGTTTATCCTAGTGGGCAGACTCCGCTGCTGTCTGTCTGTCTGTCCATTCTCCTCAGGCCTATTCTGTGACCCACTACCTTGGTCAACCTCTTTTGTGGCACCTTTGTCCAGCCACCACTTCTCTTGCAAGCCTGCACTACTTCCCACTCTTCTCCAAACCTGTCACTCTACAATCATGTTGTTCTCTGCTATACACCTGTCACTCAACACACACTTGTTCTGTGCTACACACCTATTTTACGCTAGATATGTGTTCTATGGTACACACCTATTACTTTAAACAACTGTTGTGTTATGCTCCACACATGTTATAATGTTCTCCATTGCTCCAGCTCGGCACACCTGTTGAACTATTATCCACACCTGTTGTGATGTGATCTATCACATTTATTTCAGCGGGAAATCCACTTCTTCCCAGTTTTGCTGTGTGGTATCCACACCTGCAGGTCTACAGACGCCCGACCAACCCACACCTGCTAGTCTCCAGACGCCCTACTATCCCACACCTGCAGGTCTCCAGACGCCCTACCATCCCACACCTGCAGGTCTCCAGACGCCCTACCATCCCACACCTGCAGGTCTCCAGACGCCCTACCATCCCACACCTGCAGGTCTCCAGACGCCCTACCATCCCACACCTGCAGGTCTCCAGACGCCCTACCATCCCACACCAGCAGGTCTCCAGTCTCCCTACCATCCCACACCTGCAGGTCTCCAGACGCCCTACCATCCCACACCTGCAGGTCTCCAGACTCCCTACCATCCCACACCTGCAGGTCTCCAGACTCCATACCATCCCACACCTGCAGGTCTCCAGACTCCCTACCATCCCACACCTGCAGGTCTCCAGACTCCCTACCATCCCACACCTGCAGGTCTCCACACCTGCTGTGTTCGACACACGCCTGGCATCATCTCATCTACATAGACATGAATAAACAATTCCTCGAGACGCGGGACTTGCCTTCAGCTGCAGTGATCAGTCTCTTGCCACCTCTGCTGCTCACGCCCTCTCCCACACCTGCTGTGATGTGTCCACACCTGCTGTGAAGTGCCCACACCTGCTGTGCTAGGCTAGGCTAGGTGGGGTTAGGTAAAGTCAGTAATTTTTATGATAATTTAAGCAAATTTACCATATCCTATCAAAAATGTGCATTCTTCAACGCAGAACGTTCTTCGTTCTTGTTGAGTTCTTCACACACCTCTTTGTCATTCTCTGTGTACCTGTCCTCACTCGTTCTAAGTTTCATCACCTGTTCCTTCACTGGTGTTTCCGTTCTGATGTGACTGTGTAGTAGCTTTGGTTCGGTCTTAACTTTATTAGCTATATCATTTTCATAGTTTTTCTCTCAGCTTCTCTTCTCACACTAACATACTCGTTCTACTGTCTGGTGTTCTGCTATTACGGAAGTTCCTCCACGCCCTTTTGTCCAGTTCCTTTGCTTTCATACATGCCGTATTAAACCACAGATTCTTCTTTTGCTTCTTGGTTTTTTCCTGCCTGGCCGGGATAAACCTATTTACTGCCTCCTGACACTTTTGGGTGACATAGTCCATCATGTCTTGTACGGACTTATAATTGTGAGTTCTGTGTCCCATGGTATACCCCCTAGTAATTTTCTCATCTCATAATTTCCCTTTCGGTACGCCTACCCTTTATTTCCCATTTTTTTTGGGGGGGGGGAGATAATTCTTAGCTCTACCAGACTCTCAAAGATCAATACACTGTGATCACTCATCCCCAAGGGGGCTTCCAACTTAACTTCCTTTATATCCGACTCATTTAGGGTAAATATCAGATCAAGCAAAGCTGGTTCATCCTCTCCTCTCATTCTTGTTGGTTCCTTAATGTGTTGACTTAGAAAGTTTCTTGTTGCCACGTCCAGCAGCTTAGCTCTCCATGTGTCCGGTCCTCCATGTGGGTCTCTATTCTCTCAATTTACCTTCCCATGGTTGAAGTCTCCCATGATTAGTAGTCTGGATCCGTTCCTGCTGGCTACAGAAGCTGCTCTCTCTATTATATTGATGGTGGTCATGTTGTTTCTATCATAATCCTGTCTGGGTCTTCTGTCGTTTGATGGGGGATTATGTATGACTACTACTATAATTTTTTGTCCTCCAATTGTTTTGTACCTGTTATGTAGTCACTGAACTCTTCACAGCCCTGAACAACCATCTTTCCAAAACTCCAACCTTTTCTTATCAGCAAATCTATACCACCTCCTCCTCTTCCTTCTCTCTCTTTCCTCACTACATAGTAGTCCTGTGGAAATACTGCATTTGTTATGGTTTTCGTTAGCTTTGTTTCTGTGAGTGCTATTATGTCTGGGTTTTCTTCTAGTGCCCATTCTCGTTCACTTGTTTTATTCGTAATCACATCTATTTTAATGTACATTGCTTTGAAGCTCACTTTCTTCTGTTCATTCTCTTGTCATTTTCTTGGTGAGCGTTCTGCTGATAGGTGTGAAGATCTGTGAGGTGGATAACAGGGTCTCAGTGGATTCTGGGGTGGGGGTAGGAATTCAAGGAAATGGGGGACAGGTAGGGTAAAGGGTAAGGTGGTAAGGGGTGTTACCTATCGTACGTTACGGCTCGTGACCCTACAGCAGCCAAACTTTAATTACGTCTAGGGATACGAGACAACTGCTGTTCTCAATAGCGAATCACCAGTATAACCCCTTGATAAGTAATGAGCACAATAATAAATCTTCCTTAGGACTGAAGAATAGATACACAATCTTATATAAAATTATATTAAATAAATCTCAATAGCAAACAGATGATTATATGGTCACAATATATCACATTAAAAATATCACTGTATCTTCCAGACATTAAATTAAAATTATTATATGTATGGCTATGACAGAACAAAAATGTATAACTTAACTCCCACTAGATGTTATCTCCCTGGTTCCAGATCAGCTACTGAATAAAATAACGCGGGAGTCAAAACACATTGCCTTGCCCCGCGAACAATTTGCCAAAGTTACAATATTTATTATTTCAACAATGGAGCAATACATTGTGACAAGAGTAATCTTAAACTAACTTAATGAATAATTAATACATATTGATATACAAACATAAGGTACTTAATTCTTTACATAGTAATTAAAATATGCATACAGAAGGGAATAATGGCATGCACACCCAGCAACGGACGATCCCACGACAATTTGCCAGATACAGTTCACTCAATTATTATTCACCTCTGTTACCCACATATGATCACATATAAATCATTAGTTCCCGTGGGAAAACTGAGCACACAAAGAAATAAAACAATCATTCCCACGATACGTTGGGCCTAACGCCAACACTGTAACATGAATGTACGTTTGCATAGAACATATATAAGTATATCAATATACATGCTTGTAATTTACACACAATTATAAATGTACATATTAATATATTTACTTACGTATCTTATAGGAGTACGTAACACTTCCACCTCCAAGAAAAAAAATGCAATGGATTGAAGATCAATGGTATTTTTTTCCGAAGTAAAAATGTTAAGTGAAAAGAAACATTTCATTTATGGTACATCAAAACTTCTTGACAAAGCATCAGCAATAACATTTTGTCTGCCTGGAATATGTTTGATTTCTACATTAAATTCCTGCAAAAACAATGACCAGCGCAGAATTCGTTGGTTCTTGACTTTCATCATATTTATAAAGATAAGGGGGTTGTGGTCTGTAAATACTAACACTTTATTTCCTGATAAGTAAATTTCAAACTTCTTAATTGACAATATAAGACCCAACGCCTCCTTTTTTACCACGGAATAATTCCTCTGAGCTGCATTAAATTTTCTAGAGTAATAATACACAGGATGCTCAATCTTGTCTAAACCAACTTGAATAAGCACAGCACCTATTCCAACATCTGACGCATCAATGTGTAATATAAACGGTTTATCAAATTGGGGACTAGCAAGAATAGGTGAGGTGGACAATATGCCCTTTAGGTTCTGAAAAGCATTCTGACAATCTTGTGTCCACTGAAACTTTACTTGCTTGCGTAACAAATTTGTCAAAGGAGCAGCTACTGTTGAAAAATTTCTACAATAACGCCTATAGTATGCACACATACCAATAAACCGTTGGACTCCTTTCTTATTGGTTAACACTGGGTAGTCCACAATGGCTTGAATCTTATCTTGTAAGGGGATAATCTTACCTTGTCCTACCTCGTGTCCAAGATAAGTTATCGTACC